TTATAGTGTTAAATCACAGAAATGGATGTGCTTGGATGCACAGCCAGTGAAACTATCTTGCCGTGAAAACAGATATCATACAGTCCAGCAATTCCCTGAAAACGTAGTTTTACTTTAACAAGCATCTCAAAAGCAAACAGGCCCTTGTGTTTTGAAATATGTCATTTAACTGATATTCTTATGTCAGAATGACAGCAAATGATATAAACTTCAACTGCACACCTTTCTCTTGGCTTTTCTCTCTAAAACATTTTTGATGTGCATGACACAAACAAAATAAACACATCAAGAGAAAATTTCCACGCACACCTTGGCAGAATATCACAGAATGCACGCTGACAATACCCCAAATGCCCACAGCAAAACAATAACAGGCTATAAGTCATGTTTTAGCAAAAAGATACATCAACATGTTTATTTGTCCTTTGAATTAGCAAATGGGAATAACTGCGACAAAGTCCTTTGTAATAGAAACAGACCGATAAATGGTTACGATATTTTGTAACCGATATTCATTATTCACATTTACAAACTTAGGCTAATTGGTTATCGGTTCTTTATGTTTGGGCTACCGATAAATGGCACTATTTGGACAGTATATAAAAAGCAGCACAGAAAATGGCATTCACAGGTAAAAAAAAGAACTTAATGTATTATTTTTGGATAAATACGCAGCAATTTTAAAAGCCATTCATTTCCAAGTAATTTGTAGCTTATGAAGTAGCAAAATTATTACAAACAATAATGACAATTTGTGAACATTTAGATCACAAAACAATAATAATTATTATTTATCAAAAATTCCTAATAAATATATCCATGTTTTGTATTCTAATCAACATTACTGTCTAAAATTAAAAATCAGTTATGTATAAAATGAATGGAACACTTAAATATAAAAATAATCGTTATCGGTCAAATAAAAGCAACATCTGTCAATCTCTGCTAAAAGTAAATAAATAATCCCATTCCACCACATAAATGTGCAACAGTCACTTAAAAGCCTAACACAAACTAAAAATAAACGACAAAACGCATTTCAAGAGGCATTTAAACATTTTGACAGGTCTCTCCCCTACCTACTGTACGGACTGTAGAGAATTTGATGGTCTCAAGGAAACTGTAAACATTACAACTTTGCAAACAATAGCACTGATTTGTCTTCAATCTATAAGCAATCTCCTAGTACATACCTAGTTATTCAAACATGTCATGCAACACTCTAGTCCTCATGCATTGCATCGCTTAAGGCTGAAGGCGAGATGTTCCTGCATCTGCCGGACTGCCACATTGCATCTGAAGTCAACGCCAAACCAGTGTGCTCGTGTGTTTCCAGAGAAAGCAAACAGCCCTACACTCCGCGCATGCAACGCAGCACTCATCACGCATCCCCTTACCGTTTGAAATGCCCACTTTCAAATCCGAATCAACTGAACGCCACGGAAAGAACTTTGATGTCTCGAGAGCGTATCCTGCGCCGTTCGCGCTGCTCCGCCATCTTCAGCGCAAGAGATCGAATGAGCGAGAGCAGCGGACGGGCGCGAGGGCGGGGAGGGTTCTTTACAAAACAGCCCGAAGTTCTGAGCTCCTCCATCCATGCACTACACCCCTGTCGTGGTGTGCTACCTACTAGTTGTTTTTGCAGATTGATAAGGTGATTTTTGAATGAAACATTCTATCAGATGAATAATGTGTTTAGGTGATAAATTAAAAACAAATTAATTAATAACAACTTTAAATAAATAAATTAATGAATGAATATAATAAATATTATTGTTATTATTGATAACATATTGATATTTGTATTAATAAAACGATTATATATATATATATATATATATATATATATATATATAATGTTATATAAAGGTGCTTCACGATGCCATAGAAGAACCTTTTTGTCTAAATGGTTCCTTAAAGAACCTTTAACATCTGAAGAATCTTTCTGTTTCACAAAAGGTTCTTTGTGGTGAAAGAAGGTTCTTCAGATTGCAAAAAGGCAAGAAAGAGATGGTTCTTTAGAGAACCTTTGACTGAATGGTTCTTTGTGGAACCAAAAATGGTTCTTCTATGGCATCGCTTGAAGAACCTTTTGAAGCACCTTTATTTTTAAGAGTGTACTTTAAAAAAAAAGATATTTGTCGAATCAGATGCTGTCTATAATAAGCAATGCCACCTGCAGACCAATCACCAAGTACAAAATCGTGGTTCATAGCTGTGATAACTAAATCAAAATGTGCAAAATAAATACATTTTAAAAAGTAAGTTGTTTGATTTTTCTTAAAATCTATAGAAAAATAACCATATTAACCTGGCATCAGCTATTCATTGTTAGCGTCATTTTTAGTAATTTTTTTTATGAAGGACATAGGTACAGTTTATAAATAAAACATATTATTAATAATAAATATATATTTTACATCAAGTTCTTATGTGTAACAAACAAAAAAAGAGAGTAAAAATGATGGCTATATAACCCTAGTTTTCTGCCAAAATAGTATTTACCGTCATGTAAATTTTGGTGACATACAGTAAATTTGGATTACAGTAGAAACCAAGTTAAAAGTTAAAACTCATATTTCTTTATGGTAAAGATTATTTTATCATTTATTTTATCAACATATTTATTTTGTGGTAATTTTTTTAGCATGTTATTTTTGCAGCACAAAACAGTTCAGTGGTAGAATGTCTTATCATAATTAAATTCTAACTATAATCCATTTCAAATTTATCAAATCATTTTCAAAAATGTATTTCTAATAAATATAAATAATAAAACCATGTGAACATGTGAATGCCACAAGAAGAGGTCACTTTATTTTGGCACTTGTCACACATTAAAATATTCAAAGCTTTTTTACAGAAAATCAAAGACTTGGTAATGACTGAGAACATCAACATACTAACAGATGCTTGCATGACATGCAACAGACATCAGCCCTCTCCAGTGTGTCGGGGAGATGAGCTCTTTATCACAGTCCCAAAGCTCTGATGCAGTGATTGGCCACTTTAAACAGTCTTCTGTGTAGTTTACTTTTAGAATGGCTTTTGAAGATCTAAGCAGGCACCATCCAAAACACAGAAAGAAGTTAGTCTTTAGAGAGGAGGAGCACTCAGTACAGTCCAGTTTGCATTTAATACATCTCCTGAATGAACCTACAAGACCTACTAAGCAAAAAAAAAAAAAAAGTAGTGATTTGAGATCTAAACCAAACCACTCCGAATCCATGATGAATGTGTAGGACTAATGGTTTTTATAGCAATATAATGCTGTAGAAATATGCAGGCCCATCGGAAGGCATAGCTCCACTTACATTAAGAATACATGAATAATATATGCCTGTTAACTAATTTAGCAGGCAATTCCAGATTATTAGAAGAATCTGTAAGACAATATGCACTGATTATAAAGCAGGCTGAATATAACTTTCTAATGTTAAGAACTGGCTTTAATTTCAGATCTTGCAGTAAATTGAGTCAGTGTTTTAGGGAGTGATTCTTATTTGTTGCACCCATAAAAATGGACATTTATGCCCATACGAAAATAGCAGCCAATGAGATATACCTGACAAGATCATCACTTAGACTTTTTAAATGTCATACTACTTTCACCCCAGCCATTTATATTTTACACAAATGGAAATCGTTCAAGTCCAAATGTGCAATCAATAAAATTGGCCTTACAAATTTGAATGTATTTGACACTTGGCTTTTACATTCTCAGCCATGCATCATCATCTTAGATGCCTATTGCCTTTTTTAATGACCAATTTTAAAGAGCCCTTGTTATTTACATTTTTCTTTCTTCTACAAAAAATCTACCATTATTTGCATGAATATCACTGAAATTCTATAGTCAAAATGGGTTTAAAATATGAAACAGACTGAAGAATCTTTTTCTAGATACAGCTAGATCAGGGCCCGTATTCACAAAACATCTTAAGGCTAAAAGTAGCTCATAACTCGCCGATTTAGGAGTAGTGAAGAGGACTCCTAAGTCACTAACATCAAACCACAAACTATCCTAAAATGGCTGTTGCCGGCAATCTGCCTCTGAATGTAAACATTTTAGAAACATTTGATGATAATGACCTTTTAAAAAGGTATCGCCTTTGGTTTTGGAGGTTATCCCAACTCTAAATTTTCCTTTGATTATATCCTTGTTTTCATTAACCAGTTGGGCAAGAAGTAACAGCTGTTCTTGCATCCAGGTTTTTTTTTTTTTTTTTACATTTGCATTGTATTACTATCAGCCATGATTATTTTAATTATATGCATATCCACTAATTGTTTTTGAGAAGCACATATGTAAGAGGCTGACAATTAGCTGAACATATACATGTTTAGTGGGGAAGTCGTGGCCTAATGGTTAGAGAGTCGGACTCGTAACCCAAAGGCTGCGGGTTCGAGTCTCGTACCGGCAGGGATTGTAGGTGGGGGGAGTGAATGTACAGCGCTCTCTCCCACCTTCAATACCACGACTGAGGTGCCCATGAGCAAGGCACCGAACCCCCAACTGCTCCCGGGCGCTGCAGCATAAATGGCTGCCCACTGCTCGGGGTCTGTGTTCACGGTGTGTGTGTTCACTGCTGTGTGTGTGCACTTTGGATGGGATAAATGCAGAGCACTAATTGTCACGTCACTTCACTTAATTAGTGACACTTAGCCTGCATCTTAAAATCTTTATTTGAATGTTGCAATTAACATTTTTATTTTTAAACCTTTATTTTAAACCTTTATTTATTTGTGCTCTACAATATTTCTATGAATAAATCTCTGACAGAGACCCCTCCCCTATCAGCCAATCACTGTGCATAGTTCCTAAGCATGCTGACATCATCCATAGCAATGAGGTCAACCCCACCCTTACTCTTAGCTTAAGACTTCTCTCTATTCCTTAATGAAAGTTTGTCTCAGCAGCTTTGTGAATAGGTTTTAAGAGAAAACTTAGCTAAAAACTTTTACTGCTATTTAGGAGAACTCTTAGTGGTAAGATAAAATGTTTGTGAATACGGGCCCAGAGTAAAAAAAAAAACACAATATCGCCACCCACTGGATAAAAACACACAGTTCACAGAACAAAGTACAGGAACAGTTAAGAGACGCTACAAAATAAAATCTCATTATACTGACTGTCAACCAAAATATAGTCACGGTCCCAAACTTGTTCTTTCAATACATTAGAAGTGAGAAACCTTTGCACGGATAAAACCCATTATCAATTGCTATACTGTATTTACATAATGACACACATTGTATTGTAAATCACCATGACAAATAAGAGAAAAGTCACATTAGGTTTTTCACAATTATGAATTTAAAATGCCATTTATGTCCTAAAATGTCTACTAAGACTGAGACAAAACAAAACATACTGAGTCATTTGTCTTCAAGAGCTGTATGTTAATGCATCAAAACTGATACAGAGCATACTTGGTAAACCAATGTGTTAAATATCATGATTTACTGTACATGATTAAAATCAAAACTTCTAACTGCATTAGATGTGTGACACATCTAGAAGACACATGGCTTTAAAGATCACTTCGACTGTTGCTATCTATAAAAGCCTACGTGATTCATTTTACTTGTCTAATCCACAACACTGAAAATGTTTCCTTGAAGATTAGTGGAGGAGTTCAAGCCTTCTGTTGAATAAGGATAGTAGAGGAATCCATTCAGTTTTCTTCCGCCCCACAGAATAAGAAATAAACCTGCTTTTGCAGAGCTTATGCTACCATTCTCTACCATGCAGAAGGCCTGGGCAGCTGCATCGAATGGCTTTTAAATACAATACATACATTGACATGCACTGCAGCCTCTGGATGGCACTAAACATTTTAAATGCACAATAGAATCACACTCTTTTAAAGGGCCAGTTCACCCAAAAATGTAAATTCCGTCATCGTTTATATGGGGTTGGAACTAGAGTGTGGGTAAATGATGACAGAACTTTAATTTGGAGGTAAACTGTCCATTTACCATCACACTGGTCATTCTACAGTGTCAACCTTCACAGACTCTACGAGTAAGGAAAGATCCTAATCTCTAAATGCTAAAGACATAAAACTGAACTGTACAGAATACACAGGAATTAAGATCCAGGGTGTTCAAAGCTTATAGCAGGTGTCAAACACTCTCAGGATCTTGTTTTTCCTTTCACAGAGTCCTGGTTCTCTGAAGTGTGACGGGCAGGTGGTTTTCGGAGAGAGTTGTGCTTCAGTGCTGGAGAGGGGCGGTGCTGTGCGTCACCTGTTCGATCCAGGGCAGATAGCGGCTGACCCGTGAATATACACCTGGGTACGAAGGGTCACCGCAGCCGTGACCCCAGGAAATGACCCCTGTCAGTACCCAGCGCCCTGCCTCGCCCTGACACACTAGCGGACCCCCACTGTCGCCCTGGCAGCTGTCAGCATGCTTTCTGAGGTCAGACGTCATACTGCCAGCACACAGCATGTCGTGGCTAGTGAAACGCTCGCCGTAACGCTTCTTACATTGCCACGAGGGCAGAAGAGGTACCCAGGCCTGAAGAAGAGTGCTGAGATGCTCAGTGTCTGAAAAATAAGGGAAAAACAAAAGGTTGCAATCCATTTAAAGGGACAGCTGCTCAAAAATGACATTTCATTTCCCAATGTTGTTCCAAAACTATATGACTTTCTTTTGTTGAACACGAAAGTAAATATTTTGAAAAAAAATTTTTGTCCATACAATGAAAGTTAATTTTAATTTTTTTGGAAGATCTGTCTCTTTAGAATAACTGATAAATATATAATATATAATATAATATATAGATAAGAATAACATGGAATGAATGGAATGAAGACTGTTCAAGTTTGGAATCGTACATTTTTTTGTATGTTTTTGAAAGAAGTCTTTTATGCTCACCAAGGCTGCACTGATTTGATCATAAATCCAGTAAAAACAGTAATATTGTGAAATAATATTACGAATAAAAACTGTTATTATATATATAATAAACTGTAAAATGAGGGCAAAGTTTTATTTTCAGCAGCCATATTCCAGTCTTTAGTGTTACATGATCAATCAGAAATCATTATTATATGCCAATTTGGTGGTCAAGAAACATTTCTTGATTCAATAGAAAGTTCAAATGTACAAATTTAATTTGAAATAAATATATTTTGTAACAATATCAAAATCTTTACTGTTACATTTGATCAATTTAGTGTGTCCTTGCTGGAAAAAAAGTATTAATTTCTTTTTAAAAAAATCTTACTTAGCATAAACCTTTAAACAGTAGTTTATCACAGTTTCAGCAAAAATACAATGCAGCAAAACCTGTTTTAAAAATGGACAATAATAAGAAATGTTTCTTGAGCTCCAAATCAGCAAATTAGAATGATTTCTGAAAGATCATGTGACACTGAAGAATGAAGTAATGGCTGCTGAGAATTCAGCTTTGTCATCACAGGAACAAAATTAATACATTTAAAAATATATTTCAATAGAACACAGTTCTTTTAAATTGTAATAATATTTCAAAATATTGCTGTTTTTACAGTATTTTTACTCCATCAAATAAATGCAGCCTTTCAAAAACAAAAAATCTTAATGATTCCAAACTTTTCAAAGGATTTTTTATATAAAATA